TTAGCAAAGTATGGCCGTCTTGGTAAAGGAAACAGGCGTGTTTGTCCTTCATGTGTAGTTTTGAAAATACACGAGCAATACCCATCAGTCACAGGGGTTTACATGGGATATTGGGAGCACCGACATTATGTACGAGACTGCATTCTGGCTACATGTCAATATAGATAACTGTGCTTATCACTTATGAATGTGAAAGCTTATGGTGACCTTGAATTGTGGTGTTGAGTTATTCATACCAAATTTCTGAGTGTTTGGTTTTCCAGCTTTGATAAAAGCAGTTGTTTCAAGAAGTTGGAGATTTTGGTAAATGGGAAAAGCGAAGTGTTAGAGTTTTTAGAGTGGCCAAGGTAAAACCCTTCCACATGTTCCTCTTACAAAATACAGTAACTCACACTTGATACAATGGACTATTTTACTGCTTAGTTGATGTACTCTGAACTTTTCTGATACACCGCCTAGAGGGATGTACTTGTGACTAAATATACAAACTTAACTTTTTCTCAGTGGTACAAATTTTTTTTTTCACTCTTGTGCAGGTGTCATGCATATGCATTGCAGTTCAATAAAAAATACAGTGGTCCATTAATTGTCATTTCAAGTTACCACAGGTGTTTTCCCTGCTCATTGATTCACTCCTTCAATAGAAATATAAACACTGATATTTGTAGAGAATCGAAAGTCTAAATAATATTCCCTGGTGTAATTATCATGTTGTATCAAAATGGAACATTTTCCATATTTTTTGTTTGATAACATAATGGCCCAGTGAGTTTCTAAGTGGATGTACATTGTATGTTTACACATTATATGAAATAAATATTGCGGAAAAATTATTCATTTGACAACATTTCCCCCAAATCCTGACCAGATGTTGATTTTGCATGCTTAGAGGGCACAATAAACCTGCTTTTTCTAACCAACAGTTCCTTCGAGAAAGGGGGAGGCTTTGCAGCAATTGTGGGTGACACTAAACGTGGATAGCTTTCATTCAGTGACACATTGCGTGCCACGAGATCATTGTCCTCCACTCAAAGGTTTTGTTTTGTTTTACTGTTCTTACATCCCACCGCTGAGTTCTCTGATTACATCTCCTGGAGGTGATTTCATTCCCAGACTTGCTTGTGGCTGCTGGGAGATCCAAATAGGAATTCCAGTCAAATGTAGCAATATACTTCCTTGCCTTGTAAGCTTTATAGCTGCAATGAAAAAAAATACTATTACTGTAGTTGACTTTGTTCTATCACTTGTCTGTGATTAGTTCAATGGGATATAATCCTGGGATGCATGCAGATAAACTATATCCTTTCTGTGAGGTGTAATATGGCTGAGCACACAACAAGAATGTTGGGAGTAATTGTTCGGTACTCAAAATTAAAGAGTTACCATTTAATTTCATGCATTGTACCCCAAAGTATTTCACTATACATCTAGAATATTATCAGTGTATAAAAGTACCTTAGCAGTGCTCTCTTTGGAGTGTATGCAAGGGTCAGGCTGTTTGCACACTCTATTCTGCGAGTGTGCCTGAAATAAAAAACAGAATATTTTCAAGACTATCTTCGAATCATATCTCAATGCTGTGACAATAGTCCCCGGCTAAGTGCAAATTATAATCTGTATATTAGGATGTTGACCTGTGGATGCTATAAAATTTAACACACTTTTGATGTATACATATGAATATGAATATTTTATATTTGAGCTATGCACAAAGTACATGTAGTATTCTGTACTAAGACAAAATGACAACTTGCAGATTCATGCCACTTGGTTACCTGAATCTAACATAGAATCGGAAGTTGTCAAGCAGCTCTGGGTTTAAGATGACTTTCTGCAATTCTGCAAAGTCTTTGTCATGCCGGTCAAACCATGTTAAGTTGGGATCATGGATTTGATCATCACGGTCACACCTGCCGCCCAACCACTCATGGGAGTCACAGACATGATGAAGTAGGCCAATCCACTTGCTCTAAAAAAAATATTATAGAAAACAAAAGGACAAAGAAGTCATTATGTGTTGCACAAGGCCAGAAGTAAGTGTATCATCTGGCTACCTGGTCTTCTTGACCCATTAAAAAAGATAGATGTTTTCAGTAAACAATTTGCATTGTGTGATGCATAGTGTCACTCTGGTAACAGCACAAAGCTATTTAACAAATAGATTCCATGTTGCCGTGCGTCTGTTCAGTAATAGATCACAGATGACGTCAAAATG